TTTGCAAAAAAAAACTGCTGCGCCAATTCTCCTAGAATTTCTAAGAGGTTTGCTTCATACTGTGGTAGAGAATTTTCCCTAAAACTTTCACTGAATTTGTAAAACCGTCCTTTTATAAGAAAATAAATTGTTATTTGGTAACAGTTGATGTTGATGGCTCTATTTCGAGAAACACTGTCGAAAGACTCATCATACACCGTAACTTGCTCCGTTTCATTGATGTCATATAATTGATGGCGATGATAATTCATAGGAGCTTGACGGATTGGTTTATGACGTTCCAGCGACAGGGTCAAATATTCCGAAAATGAAAAGAATCATCTTGGAATCAGAATGTTATCAGATCATAGTCCAAACTCTATGATCAAATGAAGTTTTTCATAGGAGCTTAGGCTTCGGTCATGGATCTCTGTCAACAAGGAATGTTTTGGACCATCCCAGGACTGCCAACGCCGATCAAAATGACAATGGAAAAAAGGAAAATAAATAAGAAAATCTATGATACAACCCAGTTTCATAACAAAAACCAAATTCTCCGCTTCGCCTTAACTCATAGAATCACCTTACACGCCTGGATATCGCAACGCAAAACAAGTCGGGAAAGTTTCATCCCCATGATTCAGTACCTTAAAGTAAGCGATTAAAATGCCGATGATGTTCCTGAACCGAAGTAAAGTCATAAACGTTAATCAGCTCCGGCGATAATTTAATTAAAATTAATGCAGGTTTTAATAACAGGGCTCGGTAACTCCATCCATCTGAGAAACGGGTGCTACACTAGAGGGGTGGAATTAATTCGGAGTCATTTAACAGCCTCTCTCTTTATCGCGAGCATGTTCAGCCTAAAGCAAGAAGGTTCAACTCACCCTCAAGTCAGGCAAACGACGCTTTACAATCTGTTGAATTCATTCATAAGAGGGTCAAATCTGTAGTCACAATTATAATTCCCATAAATTCCATTTGCAACGTTTCAAATTTCAGAATCTTGACGGCTGTTCCATGGAAGATAATCCAATTGCCCCCCCCCCATTATAACATGCCCTAGTCGCTGGTTCCTTTTCCTTCGAAAGAATAACATAATATTCGCCTCGACAACCCTAGCCCTTTTTTTTTTTACTAAGAAAGGTCATGACCTTCATAAATTGACAAGAATAATGAACTGAATTCATAAATGATTGGAGAAATGAATAATATAGACACGTACTGAATTTAGAGATATCGGGCAAACAATAGTCTGAAAAAAGTGCTTGGAAAAACACACGTTCCGCACCTTATGTGACGTGTTTCATCAAAATTAAGCAGACCCACCCAACCATTGCATAGATCTGCAATTTACGCATGGCTCCTTTGTTTAAAACAAAATATTAATTTTCTGGTGTAAAAAACTTCGTTACCTTCATAAAGTGGGAAACCCAGATGGTAATAAATTTGCTTAAAGCCGAGGGGATTCACTTTCATCCTGCCTGCACCATAGGAGGTAACTACCCCTCCATGCACTCATGAACGACTTTATTAAGATAAATTATTGATAAATATAGAAGTAATATTCAAAAAAATATATATTAAAAACGTGTGCTGAATACTTTTAACAGGTTGATAGAACAATTCCAACCATTTCATTGGGGGTGCCAAGCGAAAACCGTTATTTTGGTTCCTTATTACGAATGCCCACCGCAGCCATGCACCTCAAATCGGGATCTGCCACTGAGCGCCATCGCCGCACAGTGGATCGATTCAATTAGAGAGGCCGGACATGGAATTTTTGACTAAAATTGCAAATTTTGATGTTTATTTCGTCATATTTTAAATTTCAAGGGGTGTATCGAAGAGGATTTCACGAGGAAACCAATGGAACCACTTTTAGAACCTCAAAGATTTCTATAAACGGAGTTATAAGCGTTTCCAGTTTCCAAACTTTGTCCGACCTCTCCTGTTTACTCGATCCACTGTGCGCCGCCTACCGATCGTGAATGCATCCAGAAAATCATGATTTTCTTAATTTTTTTGAAACTAAAGTTCCCTTGACGAGACAAGAACAATGGATTTTTCTGGACTTCCCGGACTTGCGGTCAAAATTCTCGACGTCACTTTTTAAGGCGGAAAAATTGCTGTGAGTAGCCGACTTTCTACGCTACCGAAATCGAGAGAATTCTTCACCGGCCCGGTTGCATCGCACGTGACCTTACTGCACTTCATCACGGGCGTGCATGGGCGCGGGATTGCCGTTCCGTTCGCCAATCCCGCACCCCCGCAGCGCGGACCTCGAACCGAATCCGTCCACGGCGGCAACGAAGGGGAAGCGAATTAAAAATTACACGAGAACGGGATTAATGAAGGTCATATTTCAGATTTCGAACGAGCAGAGCGGAAACGCGAGCCCACAAGTTGCCGAATTTCGACCGAATCCGTCCTCAAATCAATCGGGAGAAAAGGAGGATTTTGCAGATTTGGCAACTTCTGGTGGGACCGTGGCGCTCGAAAAATTAACGGCCGCCTTTACCCGCCAGTGAGATGATAATTTTAATTTGATTAAAAAAAAAAACGGAGAAAAGTGGGACCCCTCGCTTCGGCTTGGGCACCCCTCTACTCCTCCGGTTGCATTTTAGGTTAGGGTGATGCCCCGTTCCCGTAACACAAATACGCTCAACAAGTCCGTTCTCCATAATTTTCCTGCTGGTTATCTTTGACGGCTCGAACTTTGTGAATTGAAATGAGGGCTCATCGCGTTTGCTTTGGCTACAAATTCTTGGTGTGAGAAAATGTGTCGAATTGGCGCTCGAATTTACCAACCAAACGGCGCCACGATGAAGTTCTTGCGTGTGGAAGGAATCTAATATTTAAATATTGATTCCCTAAATTAATTTGTAAAAATTCGCAAGGAACGCGATAGTGGCACTGGTTTTTACATGTTGGTGGCCGGGTTCTGTTCCACTATTCTGTGTACCGATCCTGGCCACCACCATGTAGAGCTCAGGTTTTCATAGTTTTTTAAATTTTTATTGTTATGTATTTCCGACTGAAAATGACTCAGTTTTGAGTCGAAAAGTCTCGGGTTTTATAAATTGTGTATTTAAGCCTTCTTTCTCGTTTTTCCCCTTGTTTTTTCTATACTGTCTTATTTTCTTGTTGGATAAGTGGCTTCATACTTTTCAAGGTTCGACTGGACTCTCTGCACCCTCAATCGTCAGGCACCCCTCGAGCCCTCCCCATCCACCAGAGACCCTGGACGGCCCTTGGCAGAGGAAAGACCCTACATTCGTATCTCGGCTATTGTGGAAGCTTTTACTTTCAGGACATCAATATTAAACTGTTGATTTACCTACATGGTTGATGTTTAACAACGTGTTGGCAATTTTGTTTGGCAAACAAACCAAAACAACCCGAAGTTTGGGAAACTTGTTTGGCTCATGACGTCACCCGAGGCTCATCATCCACCATGTAGGTACATCAACAGCCGAAAAAAGAGTGATGACTGTTGTTCCCTTATAATTGTCCATATGCAAGTGTTGAATCCCCGAAAGTAAAAGCTTCCACCTGTCACGAGGAGGCCAGTGAAGGGTCTCTTGTCTCTGGCCCTTAGGGACCCTCATTACACCTCCAACTAAACCGGTGATCAAGTTCGCCACGAAGAACTCTGAAAATCGTCGAAAGCTCCAACTTTGCGGCTGCCGAAAAAGTTGCCCGGAAACGCGGAGCCTTGACTTGAGTTTGCGTTGGCGAGGCTTTTAGACGGTTGGGATGATTTTGTTGGAAGTGAAGTTTGGGTAGGCGGCACCGGCGACTCGGGACTTTTCGGCGGCGCGGCGGTCGTGGTCATGAAGTTGCTTCGTAAGGATCCCGTCCCGGCTGCCGAGGGCGCCATTCCTTCACCCCGGATTTTTCGGCGCGAATAACTGCGGTCAACCCACCGCGGAAGTATCCGGCCACCCGTTTAAAACCACCCGGTCACTTCGTCGCCCCCCTGACATGAGGACGTAACTACAACAGGTTATGAGCCCAGTCGTCCATATAAATCGATGCTTTCCTCGGCTCTTCTCTAAAGGCAGTTACGCCCTTATGTCAGCCAAGCGACGACTTTACCTCTCGGGAACTTTCGATCCCGGTCCCGGGCTGTCACTTTCCTCGGCTGCGTCGCACAGTGGACCGAGTCAATTAGAGAGGTCGGATATGAAATTTTTTACAATGACTGCAAATTTTGATGTTTATTTCGTGTTTTTAAATTTAAACTTTTTTAATTTAATTTTTAAAGAGTGCTTCTAGAAGGATATTTCATGAGAAAACCAATGGAATCACATTCAGAACTTCAATGATCGTATTCGATAGTGGTTTGATGTATCGTTTGGTTCAAAACGATTGAACATAACTTCAAACAAAAATACTGGTATTTAAGTTGGAAAAACTGAAAATGAGAAAATTCCTAAAAATTCTGCTTTTCGTTGCCATTTTGTATTCATAGCAATCTAAAATCTGTTACGAAAAACCCGTTCTCTCAGATTACTAAATTGATATTCGAGGCTATGTTTACATGCTGAACCAATCGATAATAATACAATCTCACCTGTTTGATGTATCTAATACGTTCCATTAGTAGGTTCATAAAAACGAAGTCATAAACGTTTAAAGTTTCCAAATTTTGTCCGACCTCTCTTATTGACTCCTCGATCCACTGTGCGTCAGTCACGGCCGCTCTTCCGTTTTTGAAAATCACCGCTTTCGAGTTTCTACGAGCTCAGTTTCCACCATCGAAATGAGCCCATTCAAATGGGTCGTCAACGCGGCCGTTGAGTGTTGTAGATTGAAATTGAAAGGCGTCTCTACTTTTTGATCGATATAAGTCGCGAACGAAGTAGCAAGTGACATTTATTCAGTATCCTGCTCGTGATTTATGTCGATCAAACCTTGGGGACGCTTCTCAGTTTTTCGAGTTTTCCATTTTGTCAAATGTTAAAAGATAAGCGTTTAAATCATAAAAAATAATGATGGACGCGTATAAAGCTTACCTTTTTTTCGCTCATCAGGTTTTCATGGTGTTCGTCGCTCGCTGTTAGAGACCGCTTCCTTAGTCGATTGTGCTCAAATAAGTAAAAGCCTTTTAAACTCCCAATCTGTGGACAGATTTAAAAAAAAAAAAAAATCTATGTAAATATGATTTCTTCAAAGACTTTTTTTAAAATCAATGGTAAAATTAGCTTACTTCTGATTACAACGGAAAAAATACATACTTACCGTAAGATATGCGGCATGTATCTTTGTATGTATGTGTCAGAAGCAGACAAGTTGTTAAATTTCTGGGATAAGGGGAGGGTTTCGATGTTTTGGGAGGAAAATAGGAAAAAAAATACGAAAGAAATGCATTAAATGAGTTTTAATGTAATATTTTTTTTAAATTTTTGACTTGAAACATGTTCCTATTCCCCCCCCCCTTTTTTTTCTTTCCTTTTTTTCTAAGGAAGTTAGAAGCAACAACAAACTTTGCAACACGAATTCCTTCAGCATACCGAGCAGAAAACCCTATAAACTGGGCTCTTAATATCAGTTACACTGGTTTGTTGAACGGTACTTAAAATATTTATAGGGAATTAAATTGATAAATACGCAGCCGATGAGAGAGATATTTATAGGATTAAAAGAACGTATTGGGTTTCCACAATCGAAAATAGCTCTAACCAGTATCTCACGACGAAGAAAATAAGCTTAAGCAAAATCCTGGCCTTATGTCTTATTGAGAACCATCAATTACATCATTCAATTTACTGAAAGGGGTGGCGGAGGTCGGAAAAAGCGTTTTTATTTTTAAAATTCTACTCGAAGTTTCCCTCCATTCTTCAATCGTAAAGTTAAGACGTAATTTTATTTCCAGCCCTCATTCCAGTTGTCCTGAAAAGGATGGTTGATTTCCGAATTCGCCCAACTCCCAGTACCTTTGGAGCCTTCCGCCCTTCATAATATGTTCAAATTACGGTTCAAGAATTACTACAACAAAGGTTTGGAACAGGCAGTTTGAAAGGGGCGTTTGTTTATAGGAGAAAAGATTTTACAACCGATGCGATACCGTTACGACCGAGTTCCCGATGAACGGGCAATTAATTCGTTTTTTTCCTTTCGGGGAGAAACCCGGAGGATTCCCTGATTCATCCGGCAGTTGTTCATCGAAGATAATAAAATATGAATAAACGGCCGTCGATTTTGATGGATAGTGGAAGACATCTTTTTCCGGTAATTCAGATTGTTGGAGAAGGCGGAAAAACAAAAATAAAAAGTTGTCGACTGTTCCATAACTTTTTCGGTCCAATTTGGAGTATGTCATTAGCATAGTTACTACAGTAATATTATAAGCTTCATTAAATTACTTTTCGGTCGGTTGACAATCTCTAGTTTTCAGTGACGTTCATCGTAGAATGATTGGGTACTGGTGAATTTCAGATAGAGCCAATCACTTTTCCAAGCAAGTTTGCAAAACGACGAGTACACTGATTAACTTGCTGTTAAGGGACTATTAAACTAATTTTTATACATTTAGGATGTGATCCGAGCGATTCTTCCGCGATGTGTCGTTTTCGTTAATCATCGAAAGTTTAGAACGGAAATGATAAAAAATAGGTACAAAATTGGCCAGCCCAACGGACACTGTGTTGGCTCAAAACGGCATTTCATTAGAATTGGACTCAGCCTTGCGTTGTCCGATTTGTGTTGATCTGGTACAAAAATATTTCGTTGATCCAACACAACGAATATTTGGTTAACTTTCCTAAACATCAACTTAGTATCGGATTATCACACAGTTGTGTCAAACCAACACAAATCGTGTCTGAATCACACAAAGTCGAGTCAAACCAATAGCATTTGCAGTTGATCCAACACCACTTTGGTAAATTAACGCTGTTGTGTTAGATCAAATTTACAGAAGGTCTACTAAAACAGGCTGGCCAAAAATCAGTATTTTTACAGCACTTTTTCGGTACATTCCTAAGAATTTCAGTACCTCCTCAACAGACAAATTCTGTACTTTTTCAGTACCTCCAATTGGCGAAATTCGAAAAATTTATAAGATTTGAATTTCTCGCTCAAATTGCGACAAAAATGACAAACATCCCAGACCTTCGCATTTCCGCACTTTTTCAGTACTTCCATACCCCCCCTTGAAAAATCAGTACTATTTCTGGACTTTCCGGAAATTCCAGACTTGTAGACACCCTGATCTGCTGAATTTCACCATAAAAAAGAGAGACTAAAGACTGGCTTGTTTTTTCCTTCGAAGGTCTCATAACAAATCTTTCCGAGCTATAAATCGCTGCCTTATTTAAAAATCATTGAACCGAAGATATTTGTTCACGTTGCGGTTACGAATTCGTCGTGCGTCCTTTGAAAATGCGCGAAGCAGCGGGTGACAACTTTTCTTGTCTGCCGCACGAAGACGAGCGCTCTCTTTTCTCGGGCGAGGAAGAATGGTGTCTATTGTGTCCTCCTCGAATGTCCGACAGGCGACACGTCAGGAGCAGCTCCGTGTTGCGAATAGATTTCTACACAGTATTGTGAAGCATTCATTCTCGTCTACCGTCGCGTCGAAAGGGCCCGCTATTGTCGTCCTCGGATAGCAGCTTGATCCCGGCGATTGTGGGCCACTTGTCAGGCTGTCGCGTCTTGAGGGTTGCGTTCCCGCGTCTAAGGCGTCGCCCGAGGACTGGAGCATTGAAGCGCCGTGATTGGTTCACGACAGCTCGAACAGGAAAAGGAAAGCGGGTCCGAAAGGAGACAAGGTGGGGTGGCTGTTGGTTCTGTGAATAAAACTATGCGAGGCATCGCAGAGGTCGACGGAACTCTTCGCCAAAGCTTTTTCTTTAAATGAACGCATTGTGTGGATTTAACTTTGTAAAATTCTCGGAACTTAACTCTCAATTCTTATTTTTACTTCCACTCTTTCGATGTCCTCCGTCTTACCACCATGAACAGAATTATTACGACTCACATACTACATATTACATATTTCTCTAATAGTCCGAGAGCCAGACGACTTTGAGTGACTAACTCGGGATACATGTTTTGACCCTCTAAATCGGTAGCCTTGCATGCACTGAAACGGAAAATTTTTGTCTGCCGCCCTCTAGCCTGTGCCATCACCCTCATCTAGGCCCTCAAAGTGGTCCAAAAAACACCATCTGGTGACAAACTCCTGACGC